CTTGTTAATGTAAGAAACATTCAAACCTGTGAAGAATTTTTGTGAGTTTATTTGAGCAAAGTGTAAACAAATTCCGGAAAGCAGAATCTTAACAGATTGAGATAATGCTCCAGAAAATGGCAGTTTTGCACCTTGTTTTCTACATTACAATCGAAAGAGGAGAGTAAGAAGATTATAAGAAATCCATTTGGGATAGGTTAGGGAGGTGGGAGAAAGCAAAGCAGGGAAATCTCTGTGATTGGGTAAAAAGTAAAATGATAGATCATACTTCTTTAACTTAGGTGGGTGCAGGATAGTTAGCATTCTGCAATTAACTCAATAACAATGAGGGGATTTGTGGTCTCTAAGGAGCAGTGCCTGTGCTTTGAGGGGTCCAGAAAAAGGAAAATTACTTTTGACATTCCAACCATATGTTATTGTAGATGCAAAAAGACAACAGACAGGCTCGATGAAGGTAAAGATTGACCTTTGTCAGGAAGATACCAGCCTAAGACATGACTACCCACTTTTTTTAGTTAAAAAAATTTACAGTTTCAGACCATCCTTTGTGGTTACTTTAGAACTCTGAGTCTGCAAAAGTGCCATGCAGGCCTTCCCTGAGCTAGTCAGGTTAGCATGTGGCCCCTTTGTGTTGCAACATTGTTTGTAATTTTCTGATAATTAATCCAATATATGCTAATTTTTTAATTTGGAAAAATGAGAAAAAATTATATATCAGAAATCACTAGCAATCTCAACCCTGAGAGAACCAACATATGCATTTTGGTCTTTTTAGTCTAAGTTGTTCATAAATGTGTTGTGTTTAGGCTGGGGTTTTAAAAAATAAAACTGGATAGACTCAAACTTTTTCCCCTTATTAACATATTCCAATAGGGTAGTGAAGGCATAGAGTAGAGGGCGGGACAGGCTAGAAGGGTTCAATGCTGCGGGTATGTAATATGGTCAAAAATAAAGACGTCATTTTTTTTCATTTTTTATTAAAGTATTAATATGTGTACATATTTTACCATTGCCCTCCTCAACCCACTCCATTACATGCCATAACCCCCCAGAATTGTGCTTCCATTGGTTATGCTTATATGCATGCATACAAGTCCTTCATTTGATCTCCTATCTCCCCCACCTCTCCCTAACCTTCCCGCTGTGACTGGACAGTCTGTTTGATGCTTTACTATCTCTGTATCTATCTTTTTGTTCATTGGCTTATAATGTTCTTTATTACCCATAAATGAGTAAGATAATGTGGTATTTTTCTTTCATTGCCTGGCTTATTTCATTTAGCATAATATTCTCCAATTCCATCCAGGTCGTTGCAAATGGTAAAAATTCCTTCCTTTTTATGGCAACATAGTATTCCATTGTGTAGAGGTATCATAATTTTCTGATCCAATCATCTACTGATGGGCATTTAGGCTGTTTCCAAATCTTAACTATGGTGAATTGTGCAGCTATGAACATAGAGGTGCATATATCCTTTTCGATTGGTGTTTCTAGTTTCTTAGGGTATATTCCTAAGAGTGGGATTACTGGGTCAAATGGGACTTCCATTTTCAGTTTTTTGAGGAAACTCCATACTGTTCTCCACAGTGGCTGCACCAGTCTGCATTCCTACCAGCAGTGCACCATTGTTCCTTTTTCATCGCATCCTCGCCAACACTTGTCATTTGTTGATTTGTTGATGATAGCCATTCTGACAGGTGTGAGATAGTACACATTGTCGTTTTGATTTGCATCTCTCAAATAATTTGTGACTTTGATCATGGTGTCATGTCTCTTGGCCTTCCTTCTGTCTTCTTTCGAAAAGATTCTATTTAGGTCCTTTGCCCATTTTTTATTGGATCATTTATCTTCCTTTTATTAAGTTGTATAAGCTGTCTATAGATGTTGGAGATTAAACCTCTATCGGTGATAACATTTGCAAATATGTTCTCCCATACAGTGGGCCTTCTTGTTTTGTTGATGGTTTCTTTTGCTGTAAAAAAGCTTTTTAGTTTGATGTAGTCCCATTTGTTTATTTTCTCTTTAGCTTCCATTGCTCCAGGGGCAGTATCAGAGAAGAAGTTCTTTTGGCATATGTCTGAGATTTTGCTGCCTGTGGATGCCTCTAGTATTTTTATGGTTTCCCGTCTTATGTTTAAGTTCTGTATCCATTTTGAGTTTATTTTTGTGTATGGTGTAAGTTGGCGATCTAGTTTCATTCTTTTGCATGTATCTGTCCAATTTTCCCCAACACCATTTTTTGAAGAGACTGTCATGACTCCATTGTATGTTCATTCCTCTTTTGTCAAATATTAACTGAGCAAAGCAGTTTGGGTCGATATCCAAATTCTCTATTCTATTCCATTGATCTATATGTCTGTTCTTGTGCCAGTACCAGGCTGTTTTGAAAACAGTGGCTTTGTAATACAGCTTGAAATCTGTATTCTTGTTTACTTTATTCTTATTTTTCAGGATTGCTATGGCTATTCGGGGTTGAATTTTTAGAGAGTTCTTTCTAGGTCGGTGAAATATGCCATTGGTATTTTAATGGGGAGTGCATTGAACCTACAGATTGCTTTAGGAAGTATGGACATTTTAATATGTTGATTCTACCAATCCACGAACATGTTATGTTCTTCTATCCATTTACATCTCCTCTATCACTTTTTTTCAGTGTTCTGTAGTTTTCCAAGTATAGGTCTTTTAATTTCTTAACTAAGTTTATTCCTAGGTATCTTAATTTTTTTGGTAGGATCATAAATGGGATAGCTTTTTTAGTCTCTGTTTCTGTAAGTTCACTATTGGTGTATAGAAATGCCATAGATTTCTTGGTGTTAATTTTGTATCCTGCTACATTGCCAAATTCATTTATTAAGTCTAGTAGTTTTTTTTATGGAGTCTTTGGTTTTTTTTATGTACAATATAATGTCATCTCCAAATAAGGACAGTTTTACTTATTTTCCAATTTGGATGCCTTTTATTTCTTCTTCTAGTCTAATTGCAATGGCTAATACTTCCAGTACTATATAAAACAAGAGTGATGAGAGTTGGCATCTTTGTCTTGTTCCTGTTCTTAGAGGAAATGGTTTTAGTTTTTGCCCGTTAAGTATGATGTTGGCTGTGGGTTTATCATATATAGCTTTTATTATGTTGAGGTATGATACTTCGATTCCCACCTTGTTGAGAGTTTTTATCAGGAAAGGGTGTTGTATTTATCAAATGCTTTTTCTGCATCAATTGATATGACTATGTGATATTTATCTCTCAATTTGTTTATGTATCATGTTTATTGATTTGCGGATATTGTACCATCCTTGCATCCCCAGGATAAATCCTACTTGGTCATGGTGTATGATCTTTCGGATGTACTGCTAGAGCAGATTTGCTAGAATTTTGTTGAGGATTTTTGGCATCTATGTTCACGAGAGATATTGGCCTGTATTTCTCATTGTGTTGTCTTTATCTGCTTTTGGTATTAGAGTGATGCTGGCTTCATAGAAGGAGCTTGGGAATGTTCCTTCCTCTTGAATTTTTTGAATAGTCTGAGGAGGATAGGTTTTGGTTCTTCCTCGAATATTTGGTAAATATGTGAAGGCATCTGGTCCGGGGTTTTGTTTGCCAGAAACTTTTTTATGGCTGCTTCAATTTCTTCCATAGTTACTGGCCTATTGAGCTGTTTAGATTCTTCCTGATTGAGTTTTGGTAGGTTATATTTTTCTAGGAATCTGTCCATTTCCTCCAGGTTGTCCAGTTTGTTGGAGTAGAGTTATTCATAGTATTTTTTAACAATCCTTTGTATTTCGGTGGGGTCTGTTGTTATTTCACCTCTTTCATTTCTGATTTTGTTTATATGGGTCCTCTGTTTGCTTCTTCGTGAGCCTGGCTAGAGGTTCACCAATGCTTTTTATCCTTTCAAAGAACCAGCTCTTGGTTTCATTGATCTTTTGTATTTTACTTATTTATTTATTTATTTAGGTCTCTATGTCATTTATCTCCATTCTGATCTTTATTATTTCCTTTCTTCTGCTCACTCTGGAATTTTCCTTGTTGCTCTCTTTCTAATTCTTCAAGTTGCAGAGTTTTCTCATTTGTTTTTTTTGTTGTTGTTTTTTGTGGGGGTTTTTTTTGGGGGGGTTGAGGTAGAACTTCCCTCTCATGACTGCTTTTACTGTGTCCCATAGATTTTGGATTGTTGTGTTTTCATTTTCATTTGTTTCCAGTATGTTTTTTATTTCTTCTTTGATCTCTTTGGTAACCCAATCATTGTTTACTAGCATGCTTTTCAGCCTCCAAGTGTTTGAACTTTTGTGATTGTTTTTACTGTAGTTTATTTCTAATATTATGCCACTGTGATCTGAGAAAATGCTTGATATGATTTCAATTTTCTTGAATTTGGAGAGACTTTGCTTGTGACCCAATATGTGGTCTATATACTCTGTAGCTTTGGGGTGGAATGTTCAGAAGGTGTTGATTAAGTCCATCTGATCCGGTAAGTTGCTTAGAATTGTTGTTTCTTTGCTGATTTTTGTCTAGAGGATTTATCCAGTGGTGTTATTAGGGTATTAAAGTCTCCTACTATGATTGCATTGCTGTCAATCTCTCCCCTTATATCTTCCAAAAAATTTTTTTCTTTTTTTTTTAATGTATTTGGGTGCTTCTGCATTGGGTGCATATATGTTTACCAGATTTATATCCTATTGTTGTAGTGATCTCTTTAGAATTATGACATGGCCTTTCTTGTCTCTTGTTATGGACTTCACTTTGAGGTCTATTTTGTCAGATGTAAGTATTGCTACTCCAGCCTTTTTTACTGTGTCCCATAGATTTTTTCTTTTTTTTTTTTCTTTTATATTAGCCTGAAAGATATTTTTCCATCCCTTCACTTTTAGTCAGTGTGAGTCCCTTGTTCTGAGGTGGGTCTCTTGTAAACATCATATATATGGGCCACGTTTTCTTTTCTCTCTCTCTCTCTCTCTCTCTCTCTCTCTCTCTCTCTCTCTCTGGTGTGCATTTTATTAAACTGGTCTCACATCAGTGTACAGGTAAGCCCTGGCTTGGCTGCCTTCACACCTCAACCCACTCCCAGAGGTACCAAAAGCCCTTCATACATCTCAAGTTGGGGACAAAAAAGGGGGCCCTGATGGCTGGCCATTCAAAATCCAACAAAAAGAAGTATTAAGGTGACGATTAAAAATTTTGATTACTGGAGGTTTTAGTCTTCTTCAGAAAAAATGTACACACATTCAGAGCCATGTTCAAACAGGGAACTTTTAGAAATAGCACATATCCAGTCAGAGACATAGGGCAAATGTGATAATTCTCTGCAACTGCCAGAGACACTCTGGGTGTTTCACATTTCATTTATTGGTATTTATAAATTGTTTTCAAAGTTTAATACACCACCTGTAATAAGCCATGTGCTATATACAAATTGTTGTATTGGAAGGTTGTTGTCTCAGACTGCTATAAAGGTTTTTATTTTTTTTTAATGGATTACATAATTTACACAAAAGCAATGCTATCATCCTCCCCATGTGGACTTGGGTGAGGATTGGCCATTCTTAAGGAGAAGTGGGCAGCTTTGGGGCAGGCAAGGGACTTCCTGTAACAAAGTATCTCTCATATTTAGAATGACTATTTTTTTAAAAAGAACAATGTATAATCAAGCTCCTCGGCCACATTGTAGAATTTTGGGAATGCTCACACCTTCACTGTTTCAGTTTTTAAATCCTGAGTCAAGTGCAAAAAAATAAAAAATAATAAGAAAAATAAAAAGAAAAAGAAAACAAACAAAAACAAAAATAAAAAAAAAAACAACAACAAAAAACTACACAAATAAAACCATGCTAATTTCACCTCATTTTCTATGCAAGTTAGGTTTTGTCTAGAAAGGGTGTAACCAACTAAGTAACAGTCTGCCTAGAAGCATTTGTTGTGGATAATGGAGGGGCTGGACTCATCATACTCCCGCTTGCTAATCCACATCTGCTGGAAGGTGGACAGTGAGAACAGGATGGAGCTGCCCATCCACACACAGTACTTGCACTCAGGGGATGCAATGATTTTGATCTTCATTGTGCTGGAAGCCAGGGTGGTGATCTTTTTCTGCATCCTGTCAGTGATGCCTGAGTACATGGTAGTTCCACCAGACAGCACCATGTTGGTGTATAAGTCCTTATGGATGTCGACATCACACTTCATGATGGAGTTAAAGGTAGTTTCATGGATGCCACAGGATTCCATACCCAGGAAGGAGGGCTGGAAAAGGACCTCAGGACAGCGGAAGTCACCTCATTGCTGATGGTGATGACCTGACTGTCAGGGAGCTCTTATCTCTTCTCCAGGGTGGAGCTGGAAGCTGCAGTGGCCATCTCCTGCTCAAAGTTCAGGGTGACATAGTATAGCTTCTCCTTGATGCCATGCACGATTTCTTGCTCAGTTGTGGTGGGGAAGCTATAGCCATGTTCCATGAGATCTTCATGAGGTAGTCTGTCAGGTCCCAACCAGCCAGGTCAAGACACAGGATGGCGTGTGGGAGGGCATAACCCTCTTAGATGGGCACAGTGTGGGTGACTCCATCACGAGTCCATCACAATGCCAGTGGTACAGCCAGAGGTGTATAAGGACAGCACTGCCGGGATGGCCACATACATGGCTGGGGTATTGAAGGTCTCAAACATGATCTGAGGCATCGTCTCACAGTTAGCCTTAGGGTTCAGAGGGGCTTCAGTGAGCAGTTCAGGATGCTCCTCGAGGGCTACATGAAGCTTGTTGTAGAAAGTGTAATGCCAGATCTTCTCCATGTCCTCTCAGTTGGTGACAATGCTGTGCTTGATGGGGTACTTCAGGGTTAGGATGCCTCTCTTGCTCTGGACCTCATCACCCACATAGGAGTCCTGCTGGCCCATGCCCACTATCATGCCCTGGTACCAGGGACACCCCATGATGGAGAGGAAAGATGGCTTTGGAGGCATTGTCCACCACGAAGCTGGCTTTGCACATGCCAAAGCCATTGTCAACCATGAACACAGCAATATCGTCATCCACGGTCAGTAGGAGGCGGTGAGCATCAGCAAAGGTGGAAGAGCGGCAAAGTCGAGTGGCCTGCACTGGAGGTGGATATGGTTTCAACAGCCTGGGTCATGTTTTCTTATACATTTTGATTGGAGCATTTAATCCATTTATGTTTAATGTTATTATTGATATGTACTTGTTTGTAGCCTTTTCTATTCTTTATGCCTGTGTTCCTTCCACCCTTTCTATTTCTTCTTTTTACAGCATTCCCTTTAGCATTTCTTCCATTTCTGGCTTGGTCGTGATAAACTCCCTTAGCCTTTTTTTGTCTATGAAGCTCCTGATTTCCCCTTCAATTTTGATTGATAGCCTTGCTTAATGGAGTATTCTTGGATTCAGTCCTTTGATTTGCATCACTTTGTATACTTCATTCCATTCCCTTCTGGCTTGATGTGTTTCTGTTCAGAAACCATTTGATAATCTGATGGGGGATCCTTTGCAGGTAACTCTCTGTCTCTCTCTTGCAGCCTTTAAGATTCTCTTTGTTGTTAACATTTGTCATTGTAATTATGACTTGTCTTGGTGTGAGTCTTTTGGGGTTCATTTTGCTTGGGACTTTCTGTAGTTGTGTGAATTTTTCTTTCCCATATCAGGGAAGTGTTCTGTCATTATTTCTTCAAATAGATTTTTTAATCCTTGATGCTATTCTTGTCCTTCTGGCACCCCTATTATACATATGTTACTTCGTTTCATGCTGTACCAAAGCTCCCTTAGGCTCTCCTCCTGCTTTTTAATTTTTTTTTCTCCAGTTGTTCAGATTGGGCTTGTTTCTCTACCTTATCTTCTAACTCATTAATTTGGACCTCCACTTTTCCTGGTCTAATGCAGAAACCTTCCACTTCATTTTTATTGTAGCATTTTTTATTTTGATTTCTTTCTGATTTTCTTGTCCATCCAATTTATGATATGTATGACCATTACTCTGAGTCTTTTCTGACATATTGCATGCCTCTGTTCCTTTCTTGGTGATTTCCCCCACCTTCACCCCTTTTTGGGGATTGTTTTGTTGTTTTCCCATTCTAGTTATCACCAAAATGTCCAAGCAGCGAGTTGTGGAGGCCTGTGTGAGCCATGTGCAGTGGGAGTGTTGTGCCACCAGAGCATCACTGAAGAGCTCAGAGACTAAGACATGTGGCTGCTGTGGATCCGTGAGAGCCTCGTGCACTGAGAATGAGTCCCTGCATGCCTGCACTGAGAATTAGTGTCACAGGCACTCAGTGCAGCCTCGTGCATGCTTTGAGAAAGCGAGTCCCCACGTGCATGCACTGAAAATCAGAGTCCCCAAGCGTGCACCAGGAATCAGAGTCTCTGTGTGCTCATGCTGAGAATTGAGAATTGGAGTCTCTAGCACTCAATGTAGTCTCGTGCACTCTCTGAGAATCAGGGTCCCTGAGCACACACTGAGAATCAGAGTCACTGGCACTTGGTGTGCATGCTGAGAATCAGGGTTTCCAGCATGTATTCAGCCATTTGGGGATTAGGAAGGGTTTTAGGAAACATTTCTTCCAAGATGTATTCAGATCCTACAATTTGAGGTTTGAGAAATAAACCTCAAAATCTTCATTGTGACCACAACTATACACTGTGTCTTTGTACAATAACATACTGAATGCCAGACCTCTGGTTTCCTGGATTTCTGTTTGGATTTTTAAAACCAGCTCAAAGTTTGAGCCTTTAAGATAGGTTAACTGACCAGGGATCATCATTTTCCATTTTCAAGGGGAAACATTTTGTTTAGTTCATTACTCAATGAGTTATCAGCCATTTGGCTTAATCCTAAAGCATATCTCTCATCTAGAATTTGTTTCTACATTAATGTCCCCCCCCCCCCCTCTTTTTTTTTTCTCTTGTGGGAAGAAAGGGTGTCTGACATTTGTTTAGGATTGTAAATTCCAAACCAAGTGGCAGGTGTTCCTAAATGTAAATATGGTTCAAGATGGAGTCTGATGCCATGTAGCTCCTTAATTAGGCTGGTGCTGCATCTTAACGCCTCAATGGAGTTAGGGAACCACTTTAAAAAAACCTTTGTCTTACAGATTGATCCCTGAAACTTCAGATCAACTAGAGAAAATCAGAAGAGGTTTGCTAAAAGCCATAGAGAAAAGGAGGAAGATTCAGGAAGGGGTTAGAAAAATTGAAAAGAAAGTGAAACTTCCCAATTACCTTTGGAAAATTTGAAAGTATGAATAAAACTCTATTTGAAGAAGGGCATGAGAAAGTATGTTGAATGTTGTAACACAAAGCAAATGTTTATATGTCCTTCCAAAGACTACTACAATACTCATTTTACTCTTAAGTTAACACCCCTTCTTAAATTCATTCATTATCCACTGGGAAATAAAAATTGGTTTAAGATTTCCATATTAAAAAAACTAAACTATTTTTCTAACAAGTAATAAGGGCTATCCTAGAACAAAATCTAAGTGACAATAAATGCTGCTTTAATTACTATATAAACAAAATTCTCTCTAGAATGTCTATGCAAGTACAATGTATTTAACTAATAATGTCAGGATCACAAAAATTTGCCATATTTGGAGCATTCTTGTGTTTCTCAGCATTTTTAAACTTGGAATAACATTTAGCACACTAAACTGGCAATCAAAAATAAGTGTTTAGGTCCCCACTCCTCAGCTCACTAGCACAAAGCCACTTACCTACACTATGCCTTGGGTTCCTTATCTGTGAAATTGGTATAAGACACATTCTGCATAATTTGAAAGCAATAGGTAAGAGGTTAAATAGAAAACAGTATAATGAACTCCATAAAATATAAAGGGAAGTGCATGTATAATGGATGCTGCTACTGATGCCAATGCTGTTCCCATATGTGAGTGGGAAGAGAATAAAAATGACAGATATGTTTTTGCTTTAAAATGCTTTAGTCTAGCAGTAAGTAAATGGTGGTGTGATAGGTGTGTCAAATGTGTGTGTGTGTGTATGTGTGTGTGTGTGTGTGTGTGTGTGTGTGTGTATGTAAGAGATACAGATTACAAAGTATTTAATGGAGAAATGGACTTACGACCTATTTGGTTCAAAAAATACACTTGGTTTATATGTAAAAGTAATAGATGATTATAGGAACAGAGGCGATGATTCCTTCAAACCAGTGGTTGGCAAACTT